ACTCTTCTACTAAAAGCTATACTATTTGCTACTTTTTTGATATGAGGCTACTTTTTGGCTACTTTTTTGAGTCTAATGCTACTAAAAGCTACTTTTCTGAACAAATAGTCAAATTTAGATTTTTAGTTTTCACATTTCCATTTAACAACAGTGTTAAAATCTAAAATCGTTAATGAAAAACGACAGTTAATAAGATATTAGGAAATAATTTTACCGACATTTACTCTATCAATAGTGACTGATTATAAATTGTGTTTAGATTTTCTTGCAAATGATAACCTTTAAATTTCCTGTTTTTCCTGGCTTTGTCCTAATTTTTTCCGGTTTTATTTTCTCATCAAATTTAAATTTATTTGATTTCGAACATAAATAAATTTACAAATGGTTTCAAAAATTTGTATTAGATTTTTTATGAATAGTTAAATTGTTTTGACGAGATTCTTTAGATTTTTTGCCAATAATGTTTTTTTTAATAATTTTAATTAAAAATTTGAAAAATAATTGAATTAAACAAAGAATTTTTTCAATTTTTCAAAAAAAAAAACTTGTCTGTTCATAATTATAATTGAAAATTTGATTAATTCAATTTCATTAAAATTTTTGAAAATAATTGAATTGTAGAGAACAATTTAATTATTTATAAAAAATAATTGAAATTTCGAGGAGAATTTCAAAAAATTTTTAAACATAATTGAATTTCTGCGGAGAATTTTATTACTTTTGAAAATATTGAATTGTTTTTTTCGAATTTTATGGAAATTTATGAAAATAATTGAATTCTTGTGAAGAATATTTTTCAAAAATAATATTCAAAAGAATTTAGTAAATCTGAAAACTTTTGCTATTTATAAAAATAATTGAAATAATGTAATTCTTTCGATAAATTTTAATCAAATTTTTAAAAATAATTGCATTTTTCGACGAATTTGATTAAAATATTGTATTAAATATAATTCTATTTCTGCAATTTTCATTCTTTTAGAAAATAATTGAATATTCGTGTAGAATTTTGTCAAAATTGTTTTTAAGTAATTGAATTCTTGTGATTAATATAAATGAATTCTTGTTATTTATAGAAATAATTGAACTTTTACAATTAATTTTATTAAAATTCCTGAAAGTAATTTAGTTTTGTCGAAGTTTTACTATTTATGGAAATAATTGAATGTATTGCGAATAAATTTTTAAAAATAAAATTATAATTATACGGTGACTAACTTCCCTTGATTATTTTCGAAAAATTTAAATAAAATTCTTTAAAAGAAGTAAATTATTTGTAATAGAATGTAAAGAAATTTAAGTTACATTAAAAATTTTCAATTATTTGTTTATAAAAATTCAATTATCTTGAAATAACAGAATTAAAAAATCTTATTTTTCAAAATTTTCAAAAAAAACTTTGCGAAAATTAAATTTTATTAAAAAATTTGAAGTGTGTATCTTTTTTTTAAATTAACTAATAAAAATTTTAATTATTAATCTTCGCACTTAGAAACATGAATACATTAGAATGTGACTCTTTAAAAAATTCAATTATTTATCAATTATTAAATTAAAATACTTTGAAAATTCGATTTTTTAAAAAGTTTTTAATGAAATTCTTTAATTCTTCTTTTTGTCACCGAGGCTACTATTTCCTACTTTTTTTTGTCGTCGAGGCTACTTTTTCCTACTTTTTTTTAAACTCATAATGGAGTGCGAAGCCTGCTTATAGAATGAATCACTAATTTTGCTTTCTTGCGACTAGCAGATAAATTTTCAAATAAGAATCATTGTACTGTTCGAAAGCTCATTCTTGAAAGTATCAAATTGCAGTAAGTATACCAAAAATGTGGATCAAAGCACAAGATCGAAATTTTTTATATTATTAATTGATCCACTTTGGTATTAGTTTCAGAGTGTCAATGATTTTCAATAACTATACTATTTTAATAAAAATTTCCAAAACAATTCAATTATTTTTTTGATAAATAATAAAATTCTTCGCACAGAAATTCAATTATTTTCCAAAATATTAATTAAATTCTTGGCAATAATTCAATTATCTATATATAAAGTTATAAACAATATAATAAATTTTAAAATTATTTTTGTAATTTTTAGAAATGGTTAAATTTCAAAAATGCGTTAACATTGAAATCATTTGTAATATTTTAATTCCTGTAGACAAAATAAATAGGTATTTAAATATTTATTTTAAAAAAAATTATTCTATTTTTGAATGTAATTAAGAAATCATAAAAAAATTGTGTCGTCAAGTTTAATTTTTCGATAGCTACATTATCACTATACTTTTTTCTGTCTTTAATGTACTTTTTGCTACTTTTTTAAAATTAATTATCGAGTATGAAGCCTGCTAATTTTTAATTTCTCTTGTGTTTTTATTTTCTCTATAGTTTCTAATTCCTTAGTTTATCACGCCGTAAAAATGGTTCTAAATTGGAGCTGATTTCGGTATTAAAATAGAACCAAATTACTAGTACAAAAATTAGTACTTTTAACCCTCTGCCTAATAGTTAATTAAATAGTTTCTAATAGGGAAAAAAAACCAACTTCGAGAACAATATCGACTCCTTTCTCTTCAGTTTCCATTATTATTTCTCTTGAATTTGGATTATTCTTGAAAATACATAATACTTTATCAACTACTTGAATTAGGGGCAGTATATATGTATTCGAGTGCACGCTTATTTACCGGATATACGATACCAGTAAGCGGGAAGTAAGGGCTGTTTGAAAACCCGATACCTCACAGTTTTCTTTCACACCTGCTGCTGCAAAACACGTATTTGAGCAAATTAAATTTTGATCCCTTATCGTCCATGAATTTTCGAAGGAATAGTTCTTGAGAAAACTTTTATTTTTAACGATCATTATTTTATACACTTTCATTATTAATATGTAATTTGATTTATTTTATATTATTACAGTTGAATTTTCAATTTTGTTTTCTATTATTTTTTGTGGAATAAAAAAATGGTAAAAAGGAAAATAATTAAAATTTATTTATTTATTAATTCTTTACTAGAGAAAAATGTTCTTACAGGGTGTCCAGCTACCTTGAAAACCTTAAAAACCTTGAAAAGTACTTGAATTTTTTTTGCTCCTTGAAAACCTTGAAAACACCTTGAATTTTATGATAAAACCTTGAAAAATTAAAATTCTTTAAAATGAGATTTATTTCCTTGATGTTTTTTAAGTTGAATTCTCTTCAATATTTTAATTATCTTTACAAATATAAAAATTCTTCGCCGAAATTCAATTATATTCAAGAATTTTAATAAAATTCTTGTCAAAATTTCTATTATTTTCAAAATTTTTTAATAAAATTCAATTACGTTCAAAAATTTAAAAATATTTTCGTCAAAATTTCAATTACCTTTATATAAATAATAAAAATTCTTCTCCAAAATTTAATTATTATCAAAAATTTTAATAAAATTCTTCGCAAAATTTCAATTATCTTTAAAAATAATAAAAGTCTTCTTCGAAATTCAATTATTTTCAAAAAATTTTTTAAAACTCTTTGCAAAATTTCAATTATTTTCTAAAATTGTAATAAAATTCTCCGCAGAAATTCAATTATGTTCAAAAATTTCAATTATCTTTAAAAATAACAAAATTCTTCTCCAAACATCAATTATTTTTAATAATTTAAATTAATTTCTTCTAAAAATTCTAATTATTTTTAAAAAAATTTAATAAAATTCTTCGCAGAAATTCAATTATGTTGAAAAATTTAAAAATATTCTCATCAAAATTTAAATTATCTTTAAAAATAATAAAATTCAATTATTTTCAGGAATTTTAATAAAATTCATTGCAATATTAAATTACTTTCATAAATAATAGTATTTATCGCAAGAATTCAATTATTTTCTAAAATTTTAAGAAAATTCCTAAAAAAATACAATTATTTTCATAAATAACAATATTTACCACAAGAATTCAATTATTTTAAAAACGAATTAAATTTTTCGCAGAAATTCAATTATTTTCAAAAAATTGTGGTCAACAATTCAATTATCTTTATAAACAAATAACAATAATATTCGACAAAGTTCAATTATTTTGAGAAATTTTAATAAAATTCATTGCAAAATTCGATTATTTTCATAAATAATAGTATTCATCACAAGAATCAAAATATTTTCAAAAATTTTAATAAAAATAGAAAAAAAAATTTTACACAAACTTTTAATTATTTAAAAAAAATTTTACATTAATTCAATTATTTAAAATAGAATTTGTATAATTTTTTTTTGGCAAAAATCAATTATTTTAAAAATCTGCCATTAAATTCTTCGCAGTAATTCAATTATTTTCAAAAATTTTAATAAAATTCATTGCAAAATTTCAATTATTTACAAAAATTTTTCTTAATTCAATAATTCGTATATCAATTATTTTAATAGAAATTCTGAAAAGAATTCAATTATTTAAAAACAATTTTGATTGATGTTTCTTATAAACCGATGTTCTTTATATTTCTAATATTTTATCAATAAATTGTATTTAAAGTTATTTATGAATAACTGTTGTATGTGGAAGTTATAAAATTGTTTATAAGTACTCTCTAAATTTGAATTAGTAAAAATGTTTACTAATTTGAATTAGTGACTGACTTTTTGCTTTTTCATTAGTAAATTTCACTAAAAAATTAGTAGAAATGATTATTTATTAGTAAAATAAATTGAATTTACTAATTCAAAAGCAAAAAATCAGTCACTAAATCAAATTAGTAATCATTTTTACTAATTCAAATTTAGACAGTAAGTAAAAATTTACTATTTTGGACCTTGAAAACCTTGAAAAGTCCTTGAATTTTTTTTTTAAGAATTGCTGGTCACCCTGGTTCTTGTTTTTATTTTATTTTTTATATTTTATTTTCTTCTACTGGTAAATTATTAATGAGTTTGAATTTTTATCCATTAATAGCATTAGTATCATATCAGTTCGTTAAAAGATTTTTCCTTTAACTCTCTTTTCTTTCATTACAGATACTGGCGAATTCTTCCATAGTGTACACGGAAAAGGCACCCTTTTAACGACATTGCTGAAGAACAAGGTAAATACATGATAAATTGAAGCTACTTTCTTCAATATTTGAATAACTGATATCGGTACAAGTTCCTCCAATCACTGTAGTCAGATATACGTGAATTTATATATGTTACCGGCAAAGTATGTAATCAGGCATTTTATAAAATACCTAGGCAGTATATAAAATGCCTGTCTGTCTCAGGCAATGTGTATAAAAAAAAGATTTTCTATACATTGCCTAGGCATTATATAAAATGCCCACTAGACTTTAGGCAAAGTATAAAATTTAGTTTTATTTCAAATAATATACATTTTTCTGTTATAAAAATATTAACTTTCTTTTGTAATTTATTTGTTACAACACGGCATACTTGAATGACATTTCGACTGACACTGGACCTTATTTTTTATGCATAAATATTTGTTGCTTTGACAGTTTTTTACAAGAACATTTTACAAAACCTTGGCCTGTTCCTTTTTCTCGGTAGCTTTAACATTATTAACATCACTTATCAACTGCTTATACCGTTCGTCTGATAAAAATATACTGTTTTTTGCCATTGCATTTTTAATTTTAGAAAATTCGGAAAAAATCTATCCCTTGTCACCGAAACATTTCCTATTTCTGCACTCATTTTAAGTTCAAATTTATGTTTCTGCGACTGATTACCTCAAAATGTGAGAATTGACTGACAAAATTTGTATTTTCTGTTAATTAAGTATTATTCTTAAGAGTTAGAAATATTGAACTTCATTGTATAAAATTACTCACTGCTAACATGCAGCTATGTAAACATAGCTAAAATACTTATTGTTATATACTTATTATTTTCTATTTATAATAGAAAAATCGTGGAAAGTGTTTATAGAAAAAGGTAGACGTTTCAAGCTGCTGAGACTATTATATACTTTACCTTATGCTCGATGGGCATTTTATAAAATACCTAGGAATTTTATAAAATGCCTAGGCAATATATGAAAAAATAATTTAATTATATACATTGCCTGAAATGGACAGGCTTTTTATATACTGCCTAGGCATTTTATAAAATGCCTGGATTTCATACTTTGCCGGTATATATATATATATATATATATAAACATATATATATATATGTTACCGGCAAAGTATGAAATCCAGGCATTTTATAAAATGCCTAGGCAGTATATAAAAAGCCTGTCCATTTCAGGCAATGTATATAATTAAATTATTTTTTCATATATTGCCTAGGCATTTTATAAAATTCCTAGGTATTTTATAAAATGCCCATCGAGCATAAGGTAAAGTATATAATAGTCTCAGCAGCTTGAAACGTCTACCTTTTTCTATAAACACTTTCCACGATTTTTCTATTACAAATAGAAAATAATAAGTATATAACAATAAGTATTTTAGCTATGTTTACATAGCTGCATGTTAGCAGTGAGTAATTTTATACAATGAAGTTCAATATTTCTAACTCTTAAGAATAATACTTAATTAACAGAAAATACAAATTTTGTCAGTCAATTCTCACATTTTGAGGTAATCAGTCGCAGAAACATAAATTTGAACTTAAAATGAGTGCAGAAATAGGAAATGTTTCAGTGACAAGGGATAGATTTTTTCCGAATTTTCTAAAATTAAAAATGCAATGGCAAAAAACAGTATATTTTTATCAGACGAACGGTATAAGCAGTTGATAAGTGATGTTAATAATGTTAAAGCTACCGAGAAAAAGGAACAGGCCAAGGTTTTGTAAAATGTTCTTGTAAAAAACTGTCAAAGCAACAAATATTTATGCATAAAAAATAAGGTCCAGTGTCAGTCGAAATGTCATTCAAGTATGCCGTGTTGTAACAAATAAATTACAAAAGAAAGTTAATATTTTTATAACAGAAAAATGTATATTATTTGAAATAAAACTAAATTTTATACTTTGCCTAAAGTCTAGTGGGCATTTTATATAATGCCTAGGCAATGTATAGAAAATCTTTTTTTTATACACATTGCCTGAGACAGACAGGCATTTTATATACTGCCTAGGTATTTTATAAAATGCCTGATTACATACTTTGCCGGTAACATATATACGGTATGTACTAAAGTACAAGTCGGAACTGCTTTTATTTATTTAGGTTTTCGTTAACTATAAAGCTATATAAACGTATATTAAATATTATATTCCCTGGGTAAAAATATTATTTGTCTTTGCTGGAATATGTAATATTTAATATAAAATATAAATATTAAATACACGTATAATTGTAATTAAGAGAATTAAAAATCTTGTAATTTCAGTTATATAATTTTTTATTGCGTGCGGGATTTCTTTTTTTATTCTCTCAATTCTAATTGAAAAAAAGTCAAGTAGGAAAGAAAATTGCGGTCTAAAATTTAATTTTCGTTTAAATAATGACATTATGTGATTATTTAGAATAGTTTCCTTTTTATTCGTCATTAGCGTGTACCTCTCTTTCTCTCATTCATTCTCTTTTTTCTCACTCACTCATACACTCTCTTTTTCTCTCTCTCTCTCTCTCTCTGTCTCTCTCTCTCTCTCGAAAATGAAAATCCCGCGTGGGTAAAGAATGGAAAAACAAATTGAAATAATGAAACAATTTCATTAACCTTGATTTGTCGGATTTTTTTTTCTCTTGTTTGCAATTAGCGTGAATACAATTCATAATTAGTAGAACTTTAGAGTTGTATTGTAATGAATAGGAATCTATATAGTATGGAATTGACTTTTCAACGAGGCTTTAACTGATCGGCTTTGTGTGAAAAATCTTTCTTATTATTTTGAGTATAATTTCTGTAAAGGATTACTCAAAATATTTATTAATAATTTATTATTAATGTATTTATGTTATTGTTTATTTAGTTTTTAAAATTTTTCTTTGAGAATTTTTTATTTTTCGATTAGGAAATTGATTTTAAGAACTATGAGATATTTCTTTTAATAGTTAATGTTTATTTAAAAATAGGTATCAAATTAATACTTAATGTACCGAATTGATACTAAAAAGTGAAAATTAATACAAGTAGTAAATTAATTCCAGAAAATCTCAAATTGGTATAAAAAATATAAAATTAATATCAACAGTATGAAATTTTTTTAAATTCTCGTCAAAATTTCAATTATCTTTAGAAACAATTAAATTCCTCTTCGAAATTCAATTTTTTTAAAAAATTTTAATAAAATTTTTTGCAACATTTCAATTATTTTCAAAAATTATTCTTAAAAATTTTATTAAAATTCGTCGAAAGAATTCAATTAATTTCGGAAATTTTAATAAAATTTTTAACATGAATTCAATTATTTACAAAAGTAATAAAATTCTTGTCAGACATTTAATTTTTTTTTTAGAAATATGTAACAATATTTTTTGCAGGAATTCATAATAATTTATCTTTATAAATAATAAAATTATTCTTCGAAATATAATTATTTTCAAAATTTTCCTCAATTCAATGATTTTCAATAAAAAAAATCTACTATTTTAATAAAATTCTGCGCAAGCATTTAATTATTTTCATAAATATAATAAAAATTTCACAAGAATTTAATCATTTACAAATTTTTTTTATAAATTTCTTCGCAATCATTCAATTATTTTCATATAGTAATAAAATTTTTACTGGGATTAAATTATTTTCGTAAATAATAAAATCTTTTTTAGGAATTCAATTATTTTTATAAAAAATAAAACTCATTGCAAAATTTCAATTATTTTTAATACAATTTTAATCAAATTCCTCAAAAAATGTAATTACTCTTAAAAGTTTTAATAAAATTCGGCAAAAGAATTCAATTATTTAAAAATTTGTTGATAAAATTCTTTATGAGAATTTAATTTTAAGAAACATGCAATTATTCAATAATTTTTTTTTTATATTTAAATAATTGAATTCTAGTAGAATTTTCGGATAAAAATTAATTTAAAAGTAGTTTTTAGTTAAAATTTTAGATTATAATTGAATATTAAAAGCATTAGAGCGTGAATTTTTAGAAATAATTGAATTTTGAAAAGGTTTCAAATTAAAATCTTTGAAAATATGAATTTTTCATATTTTTAAGTAACAATTCTGTAGAATTAATTTTTTTGACTAAGTTTAATTGATTTTTTAAAAAATTTATTTGAAGTATATTTATTTTCTAACATAATGTTTAATTGAAGAATTTACGAATAATTAAAATATTGTAAAATTGAATTATAAACAAATGATTTTGAAAATTCTTAAAGAACTTTTTCAAAAATTATTAAAAATAATGCATTTATAGAAGAATTTTAGTTAAAAACACGAAAAAAAATTAATTTTTGGATAAATTACAAATTATTGCAGAAATTCAATTATTTTCAAGAAAAAATGAAATATTGTTCAAAAGTAATAAAATTCTTCTTAGGAATTCAATTATTTTCACAAATAACAAAATACATAGTCAAATTTCAATTATTTTTAATATAATTTTAATTGAATTTTTACTTTAAAACATTTTTATTGAAAAATTAAGAAAAATTCTCGTAAAAATTTTAGTTATATTTTTAAAATAATGAAATTTTTCTCAAAAATTTCAATTATCTTCATAAAAAATAAAATTCTTCTAAAAAATTTCAATTATCTTTATAAAAAATAAAATTTTTTTTTCAATAGGTATTCAATTATTTTCAAAAATAATAATGTTCAAAATTTTTTTAAAATTCTCGTCAAAATTTCAATTATTTTTAGAAATAATTAAATTCTCCGAAATTGAATTATTTTCAAAAATAATTACATTCTTCTCCAAAATTCAATTATTTTCAATAATAATAAAATTCTTCGCAAAAATTCAATTCTTATAAAAAATAATTAAATTCTTCTCCAAAATTCAATTATTTAAAAAAAAATTAAAATTTTGAAAATTAATTAATAAAAATTAATTTAAAAATGAATGTACAGTTAAAATTTTAGATAATAATTGAATATTAAAAGCAATATAGCGTGAATTTTGAAATTAATTTTTTTGAAAAAGTTTAATTGAATTTTTTTAATATTATTTTATG